TATTTGTTGCATAGATTCAAGTATGGAATATTATTCATTAGTCTATCAAATTCGTGTAGATTTTTCAACAAATGTTTATTTCTCAAATGTTTCTTTAAATCCATAATAAAGTATTCCGTAATTTTTCTATTTACCCGTTTCCTCGTCGCGTTTAGCACCGATGATTTCTCAAAGTACTTTATTTTCGAATAAATTAATTCTCCTATCATAGAAACAAGCGATATAAAATTACAAAAGAATCGTAGATTCATTAAGTTCCTAGACCTGAAACAAATATATTCATTGGTTAAACATTTTTTTGCAAACATGTTCTAAATCTTTGGTACATCTCCATAAATATTGGTAGTTTTAATTGTTATAGAATTTGTAAATAATTATATTTCATATTTAGTATTTATACGTGTGCCTTCAGAAATGCATTTATACATATATTTAAAAAAAAATACAATTTAAAGTTGAAGAAAATGAAGAAACACAAATAGGTTTGATGTTAAATCCAACGATGATCACCTGTAACAAAAAGAAGAAAACTATATTAATCATCTATACTTGCAATAACTATACATAATTATTGACGAGCAATATAATAATCAAATAAAATCTAACATATGACTAGAGAGCCATTCTCGAATAGTTCAAACATATTGTTGAACTTTTGAAAATAACTCAATAGCCTGTAGTTGCCCTCTTGAGCCACAATTAAGTGGGGGCCTCTTCGGCATAAAGCCTCTTCTTTTCTTCATGAACCTGACTGCATTTGGACATTCCCATACGAAATATATTCATCATTCAACAAGTGTATTATCAGAATATCATATTCTAATTCACAATTATCAAAAAATAAATGTACATTTCCTATTAACTTTTCTATCTCGTGATTCATCAATGAACTAAAAGTTCATTGACTATACACGAGAACATTTAATCGAATGTCCAAGCAGATAATATTTTCCCTCGATGACCTAATAACACTTCGCACTTTTAACGTCGAGTAATAAAATCGAATTGAAATAAATAGTGCAATAAATGTAATGCATTTTCTTGCAATACTTTTATTTCATTAATTCGTTATATTTAATTA